TACCGTTTTTGCGACGCCTTGACGTTTGCTTATAATTATCAAATCGCATGTAAAAAAAGGCAAACATATGAAACTATTTGTTTATACAATTTAAATTCAATCTGTTTAATAATAATATTACATCTAACTTGGATAAAAATAAATCCAACTGTACTCTGATTGACGATGTGTCGCAATGCTCACAACTTTTGCAATGTCGTGATGGTTCCGAAACTTTTTGCATCCTTACTGCAAATATACGGAGTATAAACCGCAACTTCGATCTGCTATTGGCTTTTTTATCGGCACTTGATAAAACAATGGATATGATAGTTTTAACCGAATGCTGGTCAAGAAAGGATATCCCTCCCCCCAAATATAACCGATTACAATGTACATTACTCTAAAAAGCTTTTAAATCAGAATGATGGCATAGTGGTATATGTTCGTAAGGTCTTTACAGTTATCGCCTCTGAACCGGACTTAATTGAGGGAAACTGCCTTGTACTTGAAGTAGAGAGGTTTTCGGTTATTTGTTCATATCAACCACCCTGTTACGCAAACCCTCGACTATATCTACAATCCTTAGATAGCTTATTACAAAAATCCTCTAACAGGCACATCATTCTTACAGGCGATATAAACATTAATACGATACATTTCGCCATTCATAATAATCAATTAAATGAATATCTGTGCATATTAGCTACTCATGGTTTAGAACAAGGTGTTACACATCCAACGAGGCTCAACAACTGTCTCGATCACTTTATGATAAAGACGACTGAAAAATGGCAAACCATGGTTTTTCCACCATTAACTGATCACAGTCCTATCCTATTACAAATAAAAAACGCCCGACTGCCAAAGATAAAAGTACACACATAAAACAGGTACTAGACTACACCCGGGCGTTAAATAATATAAGTGCCATGGACTGGTCACATTATTTTAAGTTGCGTAATGTAAACCAAACTGCGGAACATCTTGTCAATATTGTTACGAATATCATTAAAGAGTGCACTAGCACTAAGTATATACCCAAAAAAAGCACCTCTTAAGCCTTGGATCACGATATGCGTTGTAAGATCAATTCGTAAAAGAGATAAGTTGTATAAAAGGGCCAAACTACGACCGAATGAAGACACAATTAACACATATAAAAATATAGGAACACTTGCAATAACATATTAAAATCTTTGAAGCAGCAGTATTATCAAAAGGAACTACTAAAAAGTGAAAAAAAATATCAAGAAAACCTGGAACATAATAAAGGACATATGTAATATGAAAATGAAAAACGATGTGCCTCCAGAGTTGCTTAAGATTGGGAGCACTACAAAGGAATCGTTAAACAAGATCAACACATACTTCACAACCATTGGTAAAAGTCTGGCGGACGTCATCCTACAGAAACTAAATAAAACGGAGCTCGAATTAGCAAGGCAAGCATTTGTACAATCAAACTCAGCTTCAATCTATGTCATTCGCACCCACAGATCCATATGAAATTAATAAAATAATAAATAAACTAAAATCTGACAGTGCACCAGGTCATAACGGGATTCCCACTAGGTTTATCAAATTAGCAAAAAAGTACCTTGTTTATCCAATTGCACATCTTTGTAATCTTAGCCTAGAACAGGGAATATTTCCCGATTTTTTTAAACGGCTATCGTGTCTCCAATTTTTAAAATGGGGGACAAACAAGATGTCTCGAACTATAGACCGATTTCTATTCTGTCTACCATGTCAAAAATTGTGGAAGGGTTGATCAACCGTAGGTTGATTACTTATTTAGAGAAAAACAAACTATTAACTGATTATCAGTATGGGTTTCGCAAAGGAAGGTCAACGGATGACGCCTTATTGAAGTTGATATCTTTAATTCACTATTATATTGATTGAGGAGAGAAGGTCATTGGTGTTTTTCTTGACCTAAAGAAAGCTTTTGAAACAGTATCAATTCCGATATTATTGTCTAAACTAGAGGACTTGGGCATCCGCGGTCATGTACACCACTGACTCCATAGTTACTTGGCAGGCAGACAGCATTACGTTAGAGTAAATAAAGACTTAAGTGACGCCTCAACCTGTGGATTCGGTATTCCACAAGGCATTACATTAGGCCCGACTCTCTTCTTGGCGTATATTAATAGTCTTTCAAACGCATTAACATCTAATACGGAAGTGCTAATATGTGCTGATGACACAGTCTTACTATTTCATAGGCAGAGTTGGAAACAAGTACAAACTTTTGCTGAAACCTGTTTTAAGAATGTCTCGTCTTGGTTAGAGAATAACTTACTCACGCTAAATATTTCAAAGACCAAATACCTCTGCTTCTCGAGGTCTGCAACTTCAGGTCAAGCTCAAGACTTTGCAATCACACTACATTCTTTACCATGTAATGGAAAGCTTACTAGCCAATGCAATTGCAGCACACAGCAGCACTAGAGCCAGATGTATTAGATACCTAGGTATTCAAGTAGATGATAATTTGAGCTGGAAAGAACAAATCGTTAGCATCTGTTCTTGGGTTAGAAGACTTATATATATATATATTTAGACAACTAAGAACAGTCGCTAGTAAAAAAATTCTTAGTCAGACTTATAAAGCGCTCTGCCAAAGTATAATTAATTATTGTCTGACGACGTGGGGTAGCGCACCAAAAATAACAATGATTCAACTTGAACGTGCGCAAAGAGCAATTTTAAAAGTACTAATGCACCTACCGTACCGACATCCTACTAATAAAGTCTACAACGAGACTCAGGTACTCTCAGTTCGCAAGTTGTTTATAATTCAAGCTCTCCTGAGATACCACCGTGTAACTGCCTACTCACTACCACGAACCAGTAAAAGAAGATATTGGTGCCCTATACCCACTACCAAAACCACCTTTATGCAACGACACTACAATTTCATAGCACCATACATATAATAAAATTCCCGCCGAACATATTGTTAGCCTTATAACTCTAAGCACCAATAGATTTAAAAAATATGTACAGAAATTGTTGCAAAATCTTGACTATGTCCAAACTGAAAATCTTCTTACAATATCTAAATAAAATGCAATCATTAAATCACGCACAGACACAATCACACACACGCACACTTTCGCACGTACGCACAACAACAATAAACAACACATTAAACAATATGTAACAGTAACGGCTATAAACTAATATTAATTAAAGAATAATAAATTGTCTTATGTACTTGCCGAATATAGACCTAGAACTAAGAATTAGGGAAAGCACTGTTTCCTGAGATACAGATGATAACCTAGTTCAGGAGAGAGAGCTCCTTTGTATTTAGACATATTTGGTTGCTAATAAACGTTATTTATTATTATTATTAGTTAGTTACTCTAAATGAAGGAGTTTTTTGGCAGGATCTTGGCCGCCGACAGATTGTCGCTCCTGTTTTGTCGTTTGAATAATGGTTTGAAGTGATAAAAGTTGAAGTGGTGAAAGTGTGAACTATTTGAGAAAACGACGAAACAAGTGATTTGATGTTGATATAAACCTCAAGTTAATTTGATTGCTTGGGTACCTTATGAACTTGAGTGGCTGTCGACATCAACCGTCCGCTGGGTTGAGCTGTCGTCAAAATCTCCCAAAAACTTCGCAACGTGGCGCATCAGCATATTGTTAGGAAAATATATATAAAAATTAAGATTCCGAAAAAAATGATTAGTTCAGAAGGGCTAAAATCCAGTGCCGTAAAGCCAGTTAGTAAAAAAATCTAAAGGTGTGTCCAAACACGACGCGCGAGGTGCGCGGCAGCTACGCGCGGCATTCGCGGGACACAAATTGCCGCGCGACTAGTGCTATATATGTAAAACTGCTTTCAGTATATTTTTATTAGAGAAAAGGTAAGGTTAGGTAGCTCAAAATAAAAACATATTTTTAATTCTAAGGAACGGTTCTCTATTATATATTTTTCAAAAGAGATAGGCCCTCCGTTTTCTAGTAATAAGTTTACAAAGAGAGGCATTTTGGAACTACCTATTTTAAAAAGATACAATAAGGTTTAACTTTTTGTACTGTTAATAAAATATAATATATTTTTTCTCTGTTTCTTTCCCTTCCATAAGAACTCAAAAGACATTTCATTTTCAATTTCAAAGCTGCTTTTGGTTGTACGATTTTTTTTTATTTCACCCCATAGATCTTCTTCTACGTTAATATTGGGATACTAGCTTTTTACCCGCGGCTTTACTCGCGTCCGCTTGAATTGAGAAACATTAATCCTACTATTTCGTACTAAAATTAGCAAATCTTGATCACTTGTAGAGACACGTCGGTATCTGTGTCTATATTGGCAATATTATAGGCTACAGAAACACATAAGTTAGTTTATAAGAATCGCATTATTATCATACGTCAAGCAACACCTTTTTTATTTCGAGCACGTCCTCTGATATGTTTTTATGAAGGAAAAATTTTCCTGGAATCGGAAATGCGTTATTTATATAATATGCATAATTAATTTTATATAATAAGGTTTAATTTCGTGGTCTTTATTAATATTGGTACCATTGAATATTGTTTAGCACCACATGCCAGTATTTTTTACGTTCAATTAGTCTTCGAAATTTCATAAATGTAGTTCTATTCACCGTGAACGTGTAAGAAGATACAAGATCTTAGCGGTCAGCCGCCGTAGAGTCTACATCATCTGAGGATGCCTCGTGTAGAGGCGAAACACGTGTCGTATTATCGTCGATGGTGTGTCTTACCTGCAATAGTGGTGTTGGAAGTAGTGGTGCTGGGACTAGTGGTGACGGAGTTACTGCATGCAATTGAGGGAGAGCGGAAGGTGCTCTTCAATCCAGGTAAGACACATCATTGTATTTAGCTAGCGGAAGGTTGCTAAGTAATTTATATTTTTATTATAATGGATTTCCGCAAATGTACGCCTGATTCTATCAATTATCGTGTAAGAAGAATTAAATTCGTGAACAGGAGTAGAAGTCTACATGTGCAGGTAAGATGGGCAGCAGCGTCTTTCATATCATAGGTAAGATGGGCAGCAGCGTCTTTCGTATCATAGGTAAGATGGGCAGCAGCGTCTTTCGTATCATAGGTAAGATGGGCAGCAGCGTCTTTCGTATCATAGGTAAGATGGGCAGCAGCGTCTTTCGTATCATAGGTAAGATGGGCAGCAGCGTCTTTCGTATCATAGGTAAGATGGACAGCAGCGTCTTTCGTATCATAGGTAAGATGGACAGCAGCGTCTTTCGTATCATAGGTAAGATGGGCAGCAGCGTCTTTCGTATCATAGGTAAGATGGACAGCAGCGTCTTTCGTATCATAGGTAAGATGGGCAGCAGCGTCTTTCGTATCATAGGTAAGATGGACAGCAGCGTCTTTCGTATCATAGGTAAGATGGACAGCAGCGTCTTTCGTATCATAGGTAAGATGGGCAGCAGCGTCTTTCGTATCATAGGTAAGATGGACAGCAGCGTCTTTCGTATCATAGGTAAGATGGGCAGCAGCGTCTTTCGTATCATAGGTAAGATGGGCAGCAGCGTCTTTCGTATCATAGGTAAGATGGACAGCAGCGTCTTTCGTATCATAGGTAAGATGGGCACAGCGTCTTCGTATCAAGGTAAGATGGGCAGCAGCGTCTTTCGTATCATAGGTAAGATGGACAGCAGCGTCTTTCGTATCATAGGTAAGATGGGCAGCAGCGTCTTTCGTATCATAGGTAAGATGGACAGCAGCGTCTTTCGTATCATAGGTAAGATGGACAGCAGCGTCTTTCGTATCATAGGTAAGATGGGCAGCAGCGTCTTTCGTATCATAGGTAAGATGGACAGCAGCGTCTTTCGTATCATAGGTAAGATGGGCAGCAGCGTCTTTCGTATCATAGGTAAGATGGGCAGCAGCGTCTTTCGTATCATAGGTAAGATGGACAGCAGCGTCTTTCGTATCATAGGTAAGATGGACAGCAGCGTCTTTCGTATCATAGGTAAGATGGACAGCAGCGTCTTTCGTATCATAGGTAAGATGGACAGCAGCGTCTTTCGTATCATAGGTAAGATGGGCAGCAGCGTCTTTCGTATCATAGGTGTAGCAGTCAGATTAATCAAACCGAAACGGGAATAAATAAGATATACTCCGCTGCTACCATAACGCGGAAGGCGAGAATAAATAAAAAAAAAAAACATTTTATTTCCTAATTATTCTTGGCTACTGAGATACTGCGGACTGTATATAGATAATTTGACGTTCTTATAAAGAAACAAGAAGCAGCCGCAAATATCATTCAGCGCCACACCGACTTCACAAGCCGCTATCGTCACGTATCCGTCGACCAATGGTGAGCCGTTTCTTCAACGCCGCAGTTCGTTTCCTCTTGCTGTTCCGGAGCTGTATTCCACACCGCCGCCGCCCGCCGACTACGCGTGCGCACTTTTTTTTTTTTTTTTTTGCGCCCGAAGCAATTAAAGGGCTACCCTGTACGTAGGGAGGCGGAAAATGCATTACGCATACCACGATAGCCGGTCTATCGTGGTTATGGGGGACTCACTGTCCTACCGGGGACCCTAAGTGATACCCCCTAAAAACCGCCTTTAGGGACAGGCAACCGGCTGATTAAGCTCTATTGTGCCTTATCATGAGCGACCCTCTTTTGGGAAAAAGAGGGCGCAGGCGGCTAAGTGCCGCTGAGGGAGTGCCTACGAAGGCAAATTAGTGTCAGATATTACAATAATTTTATTTAATTAGAGTTGGCCTGAGCTGCCAGGAGACAGTTCAGGTCGTTTGAAAGTTTATTAGGCGGGTCCGAGAGAGAGTTTCTCGGCCTGCGGACACGATAGCGAGAGGGGGGTGGGGCTGCATAAGAAGCTGCCTCACGAATTAAGTGGTTTGGGTGCGACTCTGAGGCTTTGAAGAAGTTCTCAGAGAGTTTTTTAAGAAATTGCTGAATTGTTGGGAGCTCTAAGTCCCGATGAAGGTCGGCATTGCGGACGTACCACGGTGCGTTCGCAGCTCGACGACAGAATAGGTTCTGAACTATTTGGAGTTCATTTAAAATGTTAGGGTTTGCGTGGGCAAAGACGGGGCCCGCGTAGGACATGACTGGTCGTATACATACCTTATAGAGTGTACGCTTGTTTCGAAGGGACATTTTACTGTGTCGGCCCAACATACTGTTGAGCCTACTCAGATAAAAACGTGCGTGACGGGTTACTCTTTTGACGTGGGGCTTGAAAGTGAGCCCTGTGTCTAGAGTGACACCTAAATATTTGGCGGACGTATGCCAGGGGACAGGGGTCCCTAGCATACGTATTGGTGGAGTGTTTTTGAGACGGCGTCGTTTATAATCGAAGTGAACGGCGGAGCTCTTCTCCGGGTTCACATCGATGCGCCATTTTTTGAACCAAGCTCCTAGGTCATCAACTGACTTTTGGATCTTGTTCCGTATGAAGGGTAGTGAGACACCTTTGCAGTAGATGGCAGTGTCGTCTGCAAAGAGGGAGAGTTGAACACCTTTCGACGGGATGGGAATGTCGTTGGTGAATATGATGTACAGCAGAGGAGCAAGTACTGAGCCCTGAGGGACACCAGCCTTGATAGTTCGCTGTGAAGAGAGCGTGCCTTCGTGTCTGAAACGAAAGGTACGATGTTTTAAATAGGAGGCCACGAGACGAACTAGACGATCGGGGAGACCTATTTTATAGAGCTTGTAGATAAGGCCTGTGTGCCAGACTCTATCGAAAGCTTTGGCTATATCGAAAAAGACCGCGATGGTCTTATGACGACGAGGATAGAAACCGCTGAGGATATATTCCACAATGCGGTGAACTTGTTGGGGACATGAGTGTTTGGCTCGGAAGCCGAATTGATGGGGAATGATAAGAGGGTCGCCGTCTGTGGGAAACAGGTAGCGCCTCATACGACTTTGGATGACTCTTTCGAAGAGCTTGCCCATTGCCTTGAGGAGGCTAATGGGGCGATGGCTGGAGGGGAGGTTGAGAGGCTTGCCTGGCTTGGGAATTCCAATCACAGTTGCCTCTTTCCACGTAGTGGGAAAATAACTAAGGTTGAAGCAGGCGTTGAAGATAATAGATAGAAGGGTTAACACCTGCTCGGGAAAGTGTTTGAGGGCTTGGTTGGAGATGCCATCCGCGCCCGGAGCCTTTTTAGGCTTAAGTCCTTTGATGAGGGATGAAATCTCATCATTGGACACAGAGATAGGTTCGGAGGCGGTAGGGGGTGAGTTCCGGCGGCGGACCTCATCCTCTACTGCCTGGACGTGTGAGGGGTCAACAGGTTGAGAACTAGGGGAGCATTGATCGGCAATGCTATCCGCAAAGCACTCAGCCTTCTCCTCGTCCTCGAAGGCAACCGTGCCGTCGGGACGGGAGAGAGGGGGAGTGTGGGTGATAGCGTCTATGCGGAGGGCTCTAGCCATCTGATAGTACGCTGTGTGAGATGGAGTGATATTCTCCATGAGCTTACTCTTTTCGAGATCTTGAAATTCAGAGAGGCGGAAGCGGAGTTTTCGTTGAAGACGATTGGCCGCGCGCCTATATTCGGGGGTGGGATATTTTGCTGCTCTCCGGAAAGCAGCTTTTTTGGCTTTTAATAGGTTGCTAATATGTAGGGGAAGCCCACTATTGTTAGCAACCGGGACGACCCTTTCGTTCTCCTTAAGGGAGGATTTAATAAGGGTGGAGAGTGAGTCGACCGCGGTGTCGATTTTTTCGGGACTGTCTAAGTCCGACGGAATGGAGATGGTAGAATCCTGTGAGTCCAGAGCTTTAGCTAGGGACTCCTTGAATCCCTTCCAATTAGTGAAGGTTTTTGTGTGTATTGGGGGAGGTGGCTGATGGCCAAGAATGAGGGAGACCGGTCTGTGATCTGATCCTAGATCGTCTAGTGTCTCGATTGCTCTGAGGTTGAGAGAAACTCCTTGGAGTAACGCAAAATCTAACACATCGGGAGAGTGATCGGTGTTATCGGGAAAGTGAGTAACACCGAGAGGACTATGGACAGTGATATCAAGAGACTGCGTGATATCGAGCAGTATCTTGCCACTAGGGGACGTAGTGCGGCATGTCCATTCAGTATGCTTGGAGTTAAAATCTCCAAACATAATGACTGAATTGCCCAAGGATAAAATGGCTTCAAAATCTTTTTTGAGGGGATAGGTTCCTGAAGGGATGTAACAGGAGGCTATGAGGATGGACTGATGTCCAGTCATAGCTAGCTTGCATACCGTGGCTTCCATATTGGTAAGCTGCGGAGTAGAAATGGGCGAGCAATGAAGTGTCTTCTTGTAATAGATGGCCGTTCCGCCGCCTCGGCGGTCGGGTCTGTCATTACGAAGAAGAGAGAAGTTTCTAATAGAAAGGCCTCTAGTGTCCTTAGTTTTAAGATTAGTTTCCTGTAGGAGGAGGAAATCGACTTCATGATTTCGAAGAAAGAGCTTTAGCTCTGGGAGGTTATTTCGCAAGCCGCGAATATTGAATGATACAAGCGATAAACCCTTAGGTTTGATACGACCGTGGGATCTTGGTAGGTTAGTATTATTATCAGCCATTGAAGTTAAGTTAATTAAGTTAACTTAACTTACAACAGAGCAAGCAGAAGATCATTGTGTTCCGCAAGAGCGATGAGACGCTCTTGGGGGGACTTCGCCGCGCGCAGTTTGCGTGAGATTACTGTAATCTCCCTAACATCTATATTCCTAATCGCGGAATATAGTGTGTTGTAGTCATCAATTGTGGGCTCTGCCTCGTGTGCGTACGAGGTTGTCCGCGGAGGGTCTGCCTTTTTGGGCCCCCAGGGAAAGACTGGAGGCTGCATTGGCTTTGAGAAGCCCGGAGGGGGGCCGAATTATGCCCTGAGGGGGCCTAGGGGGACCCTGAGGGGGCCTAGGGGGGCCCTGAGGGGGCCTGGGGGGACCCTGAGAGGGTCGAGGGAAGCCCTGGATAGGCTGAGGAGGGCCCTGGCGGGGCCGTTATTGGAGGGCCGGGAATGAGCGGTCATTCACCGGCGGTGGAGCTTTCCTACTGGGGCGAGGTTGAGGTGCGCGTGGGCAACCCTTGTAGTTCGCCGGGTGACCTGTCTGGTTGCACAGGACACAGGCGGGCGGGGATTCGGCGTCTTTGGGCCGGGGACACTCTTTGGTGTTATGAGGCTCCAGGCACTTCACGCACCTGGGTGGGGCGGAGCAGTTGGCCGCCGCGTGACCATAGAGCTGGCAGCGGTGGCACTGCGCCGGGAAACCGGGTCTGTGTGGGGGCTCAACCTTCACCCTTGACAGGCCGCACACTGTGCGCACCTGCCGGAAGATGGCTTTCGCCTCCGGCACGTTGGACAGGATTACTAGGGCAAGGTTGTACCTCTTGCCCGTACGGTTGTGCATTTTGTGCACTGCTTCAACCGGGAAGCCTTGGGACTTAAGGTCCTCAAGTATCTCCTCGTTGGAGAACTCAAATGGGACGCCTCGGATGACGGCCCTGACTTTACGCTCTTCGGGGAGAGCGTACGTGTGGTAGGATACCCTTTCGACTGTGAATAGCCGGGTAATTGAGCGGAAGTCCTCGATGGAGCTAGGGATGATTTTAATGGCCTCCGCGAGGTTGACTGCATGGTCATATTTGATGCCTGCGTCGTAGCAGGTCTTGGATAGCTGGGTGAATTTAGCCTTGTCTCTTAGGAAGACAGGAGGCGGGACTTGGTTCTTCGCCAGCACTGGGGCACAGCGAGAGGCTGGTTTAGATGGGGTAGGGATGTCTAACGACATCAGTGGGACGGGGGCAGCGTCAGGAGCTGCGGAGGTTGATGGAGCGGCAGGGGCCGCTGAAGTAGGGGGGTGCGTTTGATCGCAGCGCGCTTTCCGTTGCGCTTGGAGGTGACCGTGGTGAAGTTGGATTCATCGGTACCTTCGGAGTCAGAGGACTCCGATGAACCGGAGCCTCGGGTAGTGGCGGGCCTCTTCCGAGAGGTAGACGCCGAGGATTCGGAGCATGCGTACTCCATTTCTAAGGGGGGCTGTCTGTAGAGGGGCAAAAGAGTTCCT